AGAGAGGGGGATGTGTTAGAAAGTGAGGATTATGAGGATATGGTGGATATATAACACGACTGGCCTTTGTTTGAAGAGGTTACGACTGTAGAGAAGCATCCACGTTGGCGTATGTTTCATAAAGAAAGACAGTTCTCAAAGTCGAACTTTCACTCTACATTTGGAATACGGAGGAAATGAAGGTGATTCAACTCCTTGAAAGTAGCATGGCATGCCCTAGTCGTAAAAGTCTGAACGGGTAGGTCTAAAGAATGATTGATTCATTTGTTTCTTATCAAACTTTTGAATGCTATTTAAAGCCAGAAAACATTTTTGTATTCTAACAATTTTGGGGCGATAATAATTTTTACTGTTACAAGTTCTACTAATTAATTTATAATGGGGTGGGGAAAAAGAAATACATTTATAACTTCCCCCACCCAGGGCTATTTGCACGTCAGTGAAGATAACAAACCCGACTGGAATTGGAACTCGGCTCTCCAATTTCCAATTCCGAGCCGTTATCCATTACACCACCTGCACACATCCAAGTCTACAACACCTGGTATTCCCAAGCGGGTATGACGATATACAGCATACGGCAGGAAGGTCTCTGATCCGGTGATTGGAGGTTTTGAGTAGTGTGGAACTACCTCTTAATTACTGTTGTTCCGTGGTTCACCCTGATCCGAGGTTATAGTATCTGTCAGGGTCCCAACTATGGGCAAATAGGGAACCCCCAAACAAAAAGAAACTATGAAAGTATATAAAAAACATATTTATAATAAAATCGTAGCAATGTATTTTTGTATAAAAGACGACCAAGAATACATACTTATAGTAAAAGTATCAACAATACGTACATCAGTCAGTTATGTGCCATGCGTGATACACACTTCTTTTGATACATGACTGACGAGGCAGATTTTTTTCCCGCAGTAGGTTGCCATTTCTTTCTGCGGTTGACAAGGCTATAGAACCTGGTTTGTCCTGCTATTTTCCCATAGCTGATTCATACCTTTCCCAAGGTTATTAGCACATAAGTAAATGTAATGGATTCGACTGGAATTCGAACTCTATCCATTACTCCACCATGCCTCCTGCATTGGGGTAGCGAAAGCTAATCAACATTTTCGAATATTGCCGCTATATTCAAAATAAAATCCACTGAATATTAACTATAATACAAGGGACTGTTTTTTATCGTTAGTCCGTTTTGTTTTGTTTTTTTTTTAAAAAAGAGAAAAAAAACTATTTAAAACTATTAGTTAAAACCTAGATATTCTAAGCTATCTACTGTAAACATTTTAAAACATTTGTGCATTATTCATAATTCATTTTATCAAGGGTTGGTTTCAAATCATTTGAACATTTTCACAACTAAGGTATCTCGTGAAATTTAAATCGTACAGTTTATAACATTAGCGTTTTTCATTCACAGTTAAAAATTTAAATTTAGATTAACACAACAATTTTGTCTTAGAAAAATGATGACCACAACAAAAATACAGCACCCTGATGATGACATTATGTTAATGTCGAAAGTACTCGGAAAATAAAAAGTAAATGAATATATATATATCAACATGGTAATTTTCTCTCTTCCTTTAATAACGATGCTAAGATGCTTGTCCGCAATATATTTATATATATATATTTATATGTATATATAAATAAAAAGAAAGAACAGTAAGATATATAATCCGGTGTTCTTATAGATATTTTTATTTTTACAAAATAGTGCTCAATGTAAATTTACAGAGCATTAATATTATAAATTGATTTATTTAAATGTTCGCTTGAGGATGAAATGGAACTAATGTCTTTAATTTAAGTACAAATTTAAATTCGTAGCTTTTAGCTTCCATTTTTGAAACATGGTTAGAACTGTGTATCGAAAAAAACATATTTTAAATAAATCAATTTATAATATATATATTTATATATACTTATATATTTGCCAATAGCTGGGGGAGAGAGGATTCTTACCTTTCCCAAGGGTATTAGCACGTAAGTGAATGTAATTGAATCGACTGGAATTCGAACTCGGCTCTCCGATTCCTCAATCCGAGCCGCTATCCCATTACTAACAAATTATAGCAACTTCACCCGAATCCGTTTAAAATACAACCAAACGACCAACATGAAAGAATTCTTTCATGACATTAATCCATATAATATCATATAATTTCTTAAAGAAATCAAATTGTATTCCAAAATATAACTTCGACAATACTACAATATAAGACACACACACACACATATCACCGGTACTAGTGACCATGTCCACACAAACATACATATGCACAAAAGCTGAGTATCATCTACCATGTATTCAATTGTGAAAGCAGAATAACATATATCATATTTTTGTTACTTCCAAGCGCCCAAGAAAATTAAATTTCGGCATTAAATGACTCATAAGGAGTAGATATGTCGATAAACAGGCAAATCAATCATTCTCAAGCGGTCACCTATCTAGGTACTGACCAGGATCGATGTTGCTTAACTTCATGATAGTGCGAGAACCGGTGTTTAACGTGATATGGCCATAAGTAACAAAAGAACGGAGATAGATATGTGATGTTGCATCTTTGAGAAAAAAGTCTTTAGGATTGAAGAATATTTCCCCCCCAAGATCGCATAAGTGACTTTGAACGCTAGCTGTGCTTGAAATTGAACATGACTCTCCACGATTTCTTATCATTAGTAGCTCCAAGCAATCATTCTCCTTCTCATTCCAGGTTTTGCTATCTATTTACATACATTCGTTTGACATGCAACTCGTTCTTTCCCTCTGCTCCTCTTTCCTTCATTATATCCTGTGAGTATCAAATTCTCCAAGCCCTCTTTCCTTGTTATGTGTTCTAAGCACAAGTATCCTTTTCGTCCTCTTTTTTTCTCAAAACTTCCTCGTTGCTTACATGCTCAGTCCATGGTGTCCTCAGTATCCTTTTGTAGAATCATATATCTGCTAGGACACCTCCTCCTCTGTGAGCAGTCACTGCCATATAGGAGGATTGGTATTATATAGCAGATTCGTGTGTAACTAGCAAAAAACATTAAATAGACGTGGGAAGATAACGTTGCTTCAATTTTACCTGTCTTGACTCAGTAATCAAAGTTCTGGCTTTTAACTGAACATCACTTATTTATACTAATGAGAACCTTGTAATTATGTGGTTATTTACTGACCTTAGTGTATTGTAAACATCAACGTGGAGTTATCAAATAAGACCATGGATAGCGTGGTCAAAGAACGTTTCTTATATTAGGCGTTATCATATGATTAAAAGACTCATGCGCTTATATAGATTCGTCCAAGTAATTTGTACATAAAGTGGCTAGAAAGCATTCAATAAAAAAGTCTTTGTACAGGACATTTGTGTGCAGAATACTTCTTCCCTACTTTTTAAAAACCCAGTATTTAGATTACTATATAGTCTTATCTATAGTAATTTAATATGAGGAATTAGAATTAAATGTCCTTACATTCGAACAAGGAAATTTATTTTGGTTGTTATACTTACAACGTTTCGGTCCTTATAGCATAGAACCTCTTTCAGCTGCTTGTCGTACTCAGTAACGTGCTTGGGATTTTGAACCGAACTCTTTATTGAATTCTTATTAATGTTTGTCTGACTCTGATTAACTGATACGAAATAGCCTCTTGAGCATAGAATTAGGATGAAAACAAATCCCTTGCCCTGTGAAGTGAATAAAGGGATCGTTCAACATTCTTAGACGATTACAGAGTATAACGGACAGCTGAAGAAGGCTGGAGAGTACAACGGCTGAAACGTTGTTTGTATGTCATTCAAGACGTAATAAATAGATGAGGAATTAACTGTTATATTTAGTATAGTACGTGGTTCTACAGAAGGATGCCGAGAATGTCATCGATGGAGCATGTAAGCAACGAGAAAGTTTTAAGGAAAGCAAAGATAACAGACACTTACCAGAAAGTCGCAGTTGAAATTTCTAGGACACATGATGAGGAAGAAGAGTCAGAAAATGTTACAGGACATATTGATGTCTATATTGGAATAGGGCAACAGTGATTAACTTACTTAACGGGCTTTTGTGAATGGATAGCGTAACAATGCATGGGAAGGATTGTCAAAAGGCAAACGTTGCTGGGAGGAAGCAAGAGAAGGACGGAAAGAGGAAACAGGAGAAGGGCAAAAAGAGGAAAGGGTGGAAGGGCAGAAAGGAAGCGAGAGAAGGGCGGAAAAAGGGAGCGAGTGAAGAACAAAAAAGAGGAAAAGATGAAAGGACGAAGAAAGGGTGGAAAAAAGGTGGAAGGGCGGGAAGAGGGAACGAGAGAAGGATGGAAAGAGGAAGCGAGAGAAGGCCGGAAAGAGGACGCGAGAGAAGGACGGAAAGAAGAAGCGAGAGAAGGATTTAAAAAAGATAATATAGCCAAAGAAAAGCAATGTAAGATAAAAAAAAGGGCAACATATATGGCAAATGAAATGAAAAGGAAGGAAGGATAGTAGGAAGAAAGGATAGTGGGAAGGAAAAAGTAGAGCAACAATGTATAGAAAGTTCTGATACGCCATGATCACCCACATCCTGAAGGGACACGACATCTAGAAGGAAAAGATACTAGTCCGAATCGCAGTCACTCAGTGTCTTCTACATATTTTTCAATATTTTCTTTAAAATTTTTTTTCCTGTTTTGAAAACTAGAATCACAAATGTCAAAAAACAAAACCTATGTTTTATAAAGCTTGTTTTGTATATTTTCTGTTGCTGAAGCATTTTAAATTACTAATATTTTAAAAATTAGTTTTACTCCATCTCACACTTTGGGTCGATATGCTCTTTCGACCAAACGTTATCAAACTGGAAATAAAAAAGAAAAATGTAGTACCATTTAGAATCCATGTGTGTCCATTTTTCAAGGAATATTTCGGTCAGAAAAGCTTAGACAATTAAGATGGCATAGATCAGTAGTCACAATAATAAAGAATAAAGTGAGTAAATAATAAAATCAAAGTGAAAAATGCACTTAAATATTAAAGACGGAAAGGAGGAAAGAGAAGAGGGCGCAAAGAGGGAACGACAAGAGGACGGGAAGAGTGAACGGGAGGAAGACGGACAAAGGGAACGAGAGACGGACGGGTAGAGGGAACAAGAGGAGGGCGGACAAAGGGAACGAGAGACGGGTGGGAAGAGGAACATTTTCTTTGACGGACAAAGGAATGAGAGACATCTGGGAAGAGGAACGATTTTAAACGGACAAAGGGAATGAGAGACGGGTGGGAAGAGGGAACGAGAGGAGGACGGACAAAGGGAACGAGAGATGGATGGGAAGAGGAAATGGGAAAAAAATGAAAAGAGGGAAGGATGGAAAGAGGTAAAGTCGGAAAGAGAGAACAAAAGAAAAATGAAAAAAGGGAACAAGAGTAGGAAAAGAGAGGGAACGGAAAAAAGATGAAAAGGATGGAAAATCGAAAAGAGATAACGGGTGAAGGAGAGAGGGAACGAGAGAAGCACGAAGGCAGGAAGAGAGAGAATATAGCAGAGGAAAACAATGTCATCTAGAAAAGTGAAAAATACATGAGAAATGAAGTGAAAAGGAGGAAGAAGAGTGTGAAAGAAAGAGTAAAAGGGGAGAAGAAGTTAAGAAAGGCGAAAATGATATGGGAAAGCAACGTGGGAGTAGGACGGGATAATATCTGCATTGTTTTCAAAAAGACATCGGTAAGAAAGTAGAGAGGGAGGGAAGGTCTCTTTAGTAGGTTGATGAAAACAGAATTTAATGAAGTCATTCTATTTGGAAAGTAAGAAGACAATGGGAGAAAAACTTTGATTGTATTGATTGCTCAATCAAACTGATAATCAATAACATTTGTTCAATGATTGGGATGAGAGGGAAAGAAAACGGAACAAAAGGAAAGGAGAAGGTTGAAAGATGTGATAGAAAGAGAAAGTCAGGAAATCTGAAGGAGAGAAATGATGAGGATAAAGAGGAAAAGAAAGAAGAACAAGAAAAAGAGGTGAAAGGAAAAAACTTTAAAGAAGTGAAAGGAAGAAAGGATGAAAAAAGAAAGAGGCGAGAGAAATAGGGAAAAAGTAAAAAAGAGAGAAGAGAGAAAAATAGGGGAATATAGAGAAAGAGGCGAGAGAGAGGAGAAAGAGGCGAGAGAGAGAGGGAAAAGTTAAAAAAGGCGAGAGAGAGGGGAAAAACTTTTTTAAAAAATTAGAGAGGGGGAAAAGAAAGAGAGAGAGAGAGAGGGGAAAGTAGAAAAATTAGAGAGAGAGGGAAAGTAAAAGAGGAGAGAGAGAGAAAAGGAAATTTAGAAAGAGGAGAAGAGAGAGAGCCAAATAGAAAGAGGAGAGAGAGAGGGGAAAGTAGAAAGAGGAGAGAGAGAGAAGAAAAAAAATGTTTCAAAGAGGAGAGAGAGAAAGAGAGAAAAAGAGGGGGAAGTCCAAAGAGGAGAGAGAGGGGAAACTAGAAAGAGGAGAGAGAAGAAGAAAACACTTTAGGAGAGAGAGAAGAATGCATTTTCTATAGGAGAGAGAGAAGAAAAGCAGAAAGAGGAGAGGGAGAGAGAAGAAAGTAGAGAGAGAGAGACAAAAAATAGAAAGAGACGAGAGAAAGAAACAATGAAATGTGAGAGAGAAAGAGAAAGAAGGAAAGTAGAAAGACAGATGATAGCGATTGACGTTGCATTTAATTTTTTGAAGATTGTAGGTGGCAATGAAGCAAGAGATCGGAAGAGAGTTCAGCATGTGAGAAGTGCGAGAAAAGAAACTATCAGAATAGAACTTACAGTTACATCAGCTATTTTAACCATAATGAAACGATCAGACCTAGTAGCCACAGCATAAATACCTAGTTGCGAATGGCGTTGATGAATTTAAGAAACAACGTAAGCCGACGCATAGAACCGTGAAGAGAAAAATTGAAATCATCCGAGCATTTTTCAATTATCCGAACTAAAATCACTCTCATATTTTAATCGGACACGAGCTTTAAGAATTTAGAAAACCATACTCAACGTTTCATATAAGCGCTGATAATATCAGTTCAATTAATTCTTGTTAATTTTCTCGTTGTTTTCAGACATACTTTGCGGGTATTAATTTCCGCTGACAGTGTGGATATTATTAAATTCTTGAAAAAGATTGATATACTCAAAGCCCTTGCGTGGTATCAGATATCATCAGAAACGACTTTAATATTCTCAGATCATTTGCAAATATCTATGACAATGATACGGCAATATGGGTCTCTTGTGAAACTCTTGATGGTCGGAGATTGGAAGCTGATTTCTCTTCCGATCTAACACGAACAACTGGCTGGTTACATTCGATACGTCGAAATAGTTATATTCCACCATCATCGATCGGACCCAAAAACTACAGCCAGTCACGATGAACGGATGTCATCTCGGAGAAGCACTGTGCCTTGAGAGACTATTGGGTCTTAAACTCACACCTGAATCGTGCATACGAGCCATCGCTAAGGTTTGGTTTGGTTTGTTTTGTTTTACGGTATATCAACCTCAATGGGTTATTTAATGCCGACAAAACATTTATTGCTGGTAATATGTTTTTCTTCAAAAATCTATTTCTGGGAATATTCCTCCTTGAAGAAATCTAGAGCTGGTCATATTTTTTTCAAAGGATGTATAACTGTATTGCTGGTATATTTTTAAATTCAAATTTCCTTAAAAAATGATTACTGGAAATAATTCTTTTTTTTTTTTTTACAAAGTATTTCTGGTATTAAAACCGATTTTTACACTTTCATACTGTTTTGACAGCAGTTTATGGGTTAACTATTTACCCATAACTGGGACCCTAACAGGTGCTACCACCCTGGGTCAGGGTGGACCTGGGAACACCAGCAATTAAGAGGTGGTTCCATGCTCCTCAAAACCTCCTGATCAGAGGCTTTGCTGTTGGACTTAGTTTATCATCTTACCCAGGACGCGAGCCATCGCTAAGGATGCAGGTAAAATGGTCGGCTTCCTATACCGGTCCAGTAAGTACCTGACATCACGTGCTGTCCTCTGCTACATCAGGCCATATTTGGGCTGGGACTTCACAGAACGCACTTTCCGGCCTCGATAGAGTCCAAAAGGCGTCCTTGTGGGTGACGAATTATTTTCTACCCTCCAACCTCTCTCACAGGCGGGATGTGACAAGCTTCTCGCTGCTCCATCGCTATTTCCACGGAAAATGCTCGGACGAACTACATTCCTTGGTTCCGTCAAGCTTAACCTTCACGACAAGGAACCGTCATGCCACTTACATTTTAGCAAACAACCCACATTCCCTCCGTATTCCATCAGTGAGAAGTAAGTTCCACTCGAACAGCTTATTCCCGCTGCTCTGTGAAACCGACTCCCAAAATAATGTTTCCCCGATCACTACAGTCTTGACATGTTCAAATCTATCTTCTCCTATCCATAAAAACTGCCTCCAAACCTAATCCTCAACATAGAGTGGTCCCGGACCTTGTACAGGGTGAACCTTACTGTAAAAAAAAAAAAAAGCTATGGGGAAAATTACTTCTAACGGAAAAGGATTCCACTGCCGTAGTTGACTGACGATAAATGACTGGGTTAAAGATAAAGTCGACAAAAGCTTGAAAAGAGCATTTGAAAATTATTTTTGATGATATAAATATTCCAGAAAATATTTATTTTAACAAACTTGTTCGATAATTTAGCCATTCAATTATCCGGAATTTTAAGTTATTATTTAGTTATCGGGCATACAACAACAGCTAACAAATTTGTCTGGGAGAACATTATTATAGCATAGTGAAAATTAATTTGGGTGTCTCGCCATAGAGTAATAACGAGTTTGGTTTTATTCGGTTGCTTTGTGACGTGTTGGACTCGGATAAACGAAGTTGCATTACAATTATTGCGTCTTTTGTCTTACACTCAGTTCTTTTTCTTGCTGTAAAAGAGAATCTTTGGGTTTTAGCAAAGAAATGGGAGGATGAGTATTTACTAAGTTTAGATTAGTCTGGGACAAGGCCACCAATTATGTGTATCCAATGAAAATGTAATTAACACATTCAATGCTGTCTATAGCTCTGAGATGAGGTATTATGATTACTATTATCCTCATATTCATTATCATATTACAACGTTTCAGCCATTGTACACCCGGGCTCTCTTCAGGTGATTGGAATTACGAACCGAACCCTTGTTATGAAAATTTTGTCTGGTTGTGCTGGCCCATTTTAGTGTAAAATAGAAAACTACCATTTACTCGAAATAATCGACTATAAAGACTGTCGGGAATTTTTCATGGGTGCCGCCATTTTGGTCACGACCGGTTACGACAAAGTCAATCGACACCCCAAAATACAATATATATATTTAACACGTCACAAAACGTATTTTTTTTAATCATTTAATTCTAGGTAAGATGATAATATCATTAAGACGAAATAGGTTTACTGGGAGTGAAAGAGAATGAGAAGACTTTAGTGAGAATAAAGAACAATAAAAGAACAGAATCAGGAAGATAGAACATGGCGATAGTGCCACTAAGACGCAAAGGTTTACTGGGAGTGAAAGAGAATGTGAAGACATTAGTGAGGAAAAAAGAACAGTGTTCAGGAAGACAGAAGATGGCGATTGGCGTTTCAAGTTTTGAAGAGCATGAGTGACTGGGAAGCAAGAAATCGGAGATGAGTTCAACAGCCGAAAAGTGCGAGAAAAGAAGCTATTTGAATAGAACATATGGTTGCTTCTTGCTATTTCAACAGTAAAACCCTGAAACCTAACTGCCAATCAAGTATGACGCTTAAATTCATGCAGTCAAAGTACGAAGGAGGGAAGTTCATCAGGACAATCGCCATGAAAATGTTTGTAGAAAAGACAGAAGGAAGCCACGTCACGGCGGCGAGAAAGTGACTGAAGACGAGATGCCAGGTCAGGATCAATTATATTACGGACCATTCTTTGATTTTTACAAAGAATCTGGAAATAGTAGGAGCACCAGAATAGATATGGCAGCAGTATGCACGGACGAATGGTAGATTTATAAATGTGAAAGATGGATTCTGATGACAAATATTGTCTGCGACGACACAGTGAACCAACTTTCCTAGCGGTCGACCTAGCAATTGATTCAATATAATCTTTCCACTTCATGTCAGTGGAAAACGTGAGAAGGCACAAAAAGTTACTCACTCGGAGGTTGACATCAGTCATGTTGATGGCAGGCAGAAAAGGTTCTCTATGGATATTAAATAAAAGCAGTTTTGTTAAAAATTAAAAAATATTCCTTGCCCCTGTTAACCACTAATTGGATGTCTTTTTAAAGAGCAGTTGCCAGTTTTATTTTGTTGGACCTGTCGGACTGGCTTATTAAGACAAGAGTAAATAGTCGTATACGTCCAAGCTGCTTTGGAAACAGCGCTAATTAGTTTAAAACCAATATTCGCAGTTGATATTTCACGGTGTCTTGAAAATGTATATATACGTTAACAGCAGGCAATTTAAGAGACATATAATTAAGTTGACAGGTGCATTCTCTGCTAAGCTAGTTCACTAACTATTACTTC